TTATCCTTCAAAGCTGCCTACATACACCTTTTGGACAAGGATAAATATGAATAAGTAAAGGCATTGTGGGTCTCTCTTTTTCTTTCTCTTATTTTCTTTTGGGGGTAACAGAGAAGAAGACAGGGAATGGGAAATTTTTATTGTTCTAATATTTCTCTGGTGGCACAGTGATTACGTGCTAACCAAAGGGCAGGCGGTTCTAACCCACTGGTCCCTGTGTGGGAGAAAAGGCCTGGCATCCGTTTCTGCAAAGATTTCCCCTCAGGAGACGCTACAGGCAGTGCCACTCTATCCTGTAGGGTCACTGTGACCCAGAATCAACTCAATGGCACACAATGACAATATTGCCCTCCATCTAGAGGTGAAATGGAGAAGTTAAGGATATATGATTATACCCTACATATAAAAAGTTTTTAAAGACTCGTTAATAAATAAAACAAAGGCAATACTTTCTAAACATTACATATAACTACTCTAAAAATGCTTAATCAAGTATTGTATCTCTGTTGCTGTCACTGATTACAGGCATAGATTACAGGAGGAAAAATATAAATCGGCCATGTGGAGGTGTTACTAGCTTAAACAACATATCAAGTGCCTACTGTAAAACAGAGCCTGAATCTGTGGTCTTGGAGATGAGTAAGATGCCCGCCCTGGCATCAGGCATCAAAGACCCAGAACAAAAATGAGATCACTGTGAATAAGGGTGAGTACGGAGTGGAGACCCAAAGCCCATCTGTAGACAATTGGACATCCCCTGACAGAAGGGTCACAAGGGAGAGACGAGCCAGTCAGGGTGCAGCATAGCACTGATGAACCATACAGCTTTCCTCTAGTTCTTTAATGCTTCCCAACCCCACCCCCATCTATCATGACCCCAATTCTACGTTACAAATCAGGCTAGACCAGAGCATGTACACTGGTACAGATAAGAGCTGGAAATACAGGGAATCCAGACAGAAAACCCCTCAGGACCAATAATGAGAGTAGCCATACCAGGACGGTAAGGGGAAGGTGGGGGAGAAAAGGGAAACCGATCACAATGATCTACATATAACCCCCTCCCAGGGAGATGGACAACAGAAAAGTGGGTGAAGGGTGACAGCAGTCGGTGTAAGACATGAAAAAAATAATAACTTATAAATTATCAAGGGTTCATGAGGGGTGGGGAGGGAGAAGGAAATGTGCTGGTACCAAGGGCTCAAGTAGAAAGAAAATATTTTGAGAATGATGGCAACATAGGTACAAAAGTGCTTGAGACAATGGATGAATGTATGGATTGTGATAAGAACTGTATACGGCCCCCCACCCCCAATGGTAACAAATGAAAAGATGCCCTCCCTGTCCTCACAGAAGCAATGCGATAAGGTGGTCATGCGAACACAGTGTGAGGAGCACCCAGATGGCTTGTCTTGTTTGCCATCCCGGCTTGCCTCATCTTAGCTACGACCTCTCCAGGCCTCCTTTCTCACAGAACTGTGAAGATCAAATGACTCTTTTCGTGTCCTCCGAGCAGGAAGCAGGTATTTATCAAGCCTGAGATGATTAGAACTAAGCATTAGAAGCAACACAGCATTCCGAGACGCTGGACAGCAGTGGCTTTAGGGCAAGAAAAACCGAAACAGAACTGAACAACACTCACACACACAGACTGCCCTGGTCTTTCCCCCAACCATCACATTTTAGAAATGGGAACACCGAGGCTCAGAGAATTTTATTACCTTGCATGTCTCATTGTTTGTTCCTGAGGTCTCCTGATTGGAAATACAGTATTCTTTTCAACTCCAGCACAAGAGCTTAGGGAACATCTAGCACGAGCATTTCCCTTAAAATAGCTGCTTACTATGTGGATCTGATAAACTCCAGATCAAAACAGGGCCTGTAAAATACAATCTCATACCATAAAAGTCAATTGAAACAGACAGTCTAGAAAATGGATACTGATATATATCCCCTTTGACATCTGTATGCCTGCAATTACCTACAGGAGTTGAACGTTCATGAGCTTTCACAGCTGAAATATAACATCACCTAAGACTGAATTTAGCTTAGTGGTTCCCACCCCGGACTACTTACAAGAGTCATCTGGGAGACTAGCAGTCCTAATTCTCCGGCACCTCCCAGACCACTTAGATTCATATCTCGGACAGGGAGGCAGGCATCAGTGATCTTTAAAGTCCCCTGAAGCACAGCCAGGATGACCTGTTTCCAGTAAGTTACCAAGATGGAATTGTAGATGCTTTCAAGAAACATCTACATTTCAAAGTCCATGCCATGGAGGATGGCCAGGCCTCCTCTCTACCCTTCATCATAAGTCCCCTTGGGCTGGTGGCAAACCCAGTCCAGGGCTGAATGGGCAGTCTAGTGAGTGATCCAGGGTGTCACTTCTTAGGAATGAGGGTGTACTTCATGACAACTCATACACTTGGAGATAGGAGTTCCTGGGAGGTGTCAAGGGTTCACGTGCTGGCTTCTAGGTGAAAGGTGAGAGTCTGGAGTTCATCCCCAAGCACCTCGAGGAACAGGCCTGCTGATCGAGCTCAGAAAAGGTCAGCCATGAAAATCCTATGGAGGGAGGGCGTGTGAGGGAGGGGAAATGAGGGACTGATACCAAGGGCTCAAGTAGAAAGAAAATGTTTTGAAAATGATGATGCCAACAAATGTACAGATGTGCTTGACACAATAGATGGATGTATGGATTGTGATAAGAGCTGTCCGAGCCCCCAATAAAATGATTAAAAAATAGATAAAAAGAAAATCCTAAGAAGCACAGCTCTACTCTGACACACATGGGGTCATCATTAGTAGTAACTAACTTGACAACCGGTGTATTTAGAGATAAACTTTGGGGCAAGGTAATTTACCTGGACACATTCACTTCCATTGAGTCGGTGTTGACTGTAACTGTTTACAGGAGTAGAAAGCCCATGGTTTCTCCTGTAGAGCTGCTGGTAGTTTTTAACTACTGACCATGTGGATTGCAGCCCAACTCGTAACCACTACACCACCAGGGCTCCGTTACATGGACATCCAACAAACTAAAACGAAGTGTAAGATCTCAAATACTCTACTCCAAAAGAGAGGCAAGAATGGATGGGCATAGGCCTTTCTTTCTAGAGTTTTTGCCAGGTTCATAGGATACTACTATTCTGGATCTTAAGCAGAACATGATTTAATATTGGTCCATATGCTGTATACATACATCCAACTATGTGGATGGGCACTACCTATTCCCTTGAAACAAACCCTTTGCATTTGGAAGATTGTTGGATAGGATTAGGGACAGTCTGTGCCAATGGGGGCAAGGGGAATCAGCTTTTCTATGTGCAAAAGGAACTGTTTGCCCAAATAGGCCCTACGTTGAAGTCATTGGGGCTTGGGCACCATGTTCTAGTCAAATGAACCACCCTGTATACGAAAGGCATACACCTTCATCAGTGCTATAGGAAGATTACTCTGGGAAATGTCCTATACAATAAAGTAGATTAATTAGGAAGTAATTAAAAGCAAACACAAAAAGGTTAGCATTCAACTAGCTTGAAAAACAAGCACTTCTGTCTAGATACCCGCCTGTCACTTCTCACTATGGAATGGGTGTGGCATCTTGATGTGTACACTCAAGGACAGGCAAACGCTCCAAGGTGCCTTTAGGGGAGGAGGTTGTGTATTGGAAGTCTGGGGCCCTGACATGTCCATTTTTAAAAACCAAGGCTCTCAGACTGAGTTGCCTCTCATCTAACCTCCTAAAGGAACCTGACAAGATTCCGTGTGCAAGAAAACACATGAGCCTAAATCACCTGCCTCTGCTGAGGAGTAAAATCACACATACATACATACACACACAGAGTACAGTGAAGTCCAACCCCTTTGTGTCAAATACAAGAAATGCATGGGAAAAAGTTTCCAGAAAGTTTTCTTTAAAGACTTAGATCCTTACAAGGAGGTGCTCCAGGAAAACAATGGGCTGGGTCAAAATTAATTGGCAACTAATCTCTGTACTTTTCATAGGATGCTTTTTCCAGAAGATTAAATCAATGTTTAATGCTCCACAGACCCAGCCGTGTCCATATTAGGAAACTGGGAGCTCACATCTCTGTGTGAGAAAGGACCTGTCCTCCCTCCCCATGCTGTGCGTCTACCCTTGCAAGGGTACGTGGGGGAGTGGGAGCTGGGGAATGTGAACTTGATCCAGCACTGATCAGCCAAGCAGCAAACTCTCATTGTTGTTCAGATACCAAACATAACTTCTTTCTACTAGGGAGAAACCCAGCCATTCTGTATACAACATGACTTTTGTGTTCAGCAGCATGATAGATGGGAGTGACCACAAAGAACATTAGATTTATCATAAATATCTCCTAATATGTAGAATTGAAGAATTAATTCCGTTCATGTATACTCATATATTAGACATGGTAGAATCTCTTCAATCTAACAATCTTCTCATCATTTCTGGCTTTAAAAAAAAGAATTTATTTCAATGAATATATAGTGCAAATACTGTGGTCTGCTTTTGCTTTACCTTTTTTATGAGAGTATCTTGTTCTCTGAAGTTCAAGGACCTTACAAAACATGCTGATGTACACTGTTGTTGTTTGTTTCAAAGTGCTGGCCTATGACTTTGGTTGAACTATCTCAAGACAAGGGCACCGGACAACAGGATACATGTTGGAAAACGTGGGCTTAGCCACCTCTGTCCTTGCCACCTAGAAGCTACGTGACCTGGGTCACATAACCTCCTCTGAGTATAGGAAATGGAGATGATGTGACTTGTCTCACAGATTTGGGGTGAGTATACAGTGAGAGGCACAAAGTAAGACAGTCAATGTTCACTCCCTTCCTCTCTCCTTTCAGCAACAAAAGCCCATCTGGTATTTTGACCTAAGTAAACTTCCCTAAGGTCTCAAAATAGCCCAGTGATGATATCATAATACAAAGCCTCACCATCGTGCACACAGACTCAATGCCGTGGGCTGGAGGCTGTGGAGATAGCAGCATACCTGAGTTACTACTTGCTGCTTCTCAACAATGTGTGGTGGACACAACACTATGAGACAAAACCTCTCTGTCATTGCCTTCTTACAAGTGAGTGTTCTGATTCAGGCCCACCTCACTCAAAACAGCCAGCCCGTGTTGCTACAAGAAGACCAAAAAATGAAATTTGGCATTTCTATATTGTTCTTTGAAGATATCATATCTGAAGCATAACCAGATGCCAGATGTGAAAATATCTAAAACTCCATGGAGATGACAAATGTTTTCCTACCTATATATTTACCATAATGAAAAAGGAAAGAAAAATCTAAATGCCTACTAGCTAACTACAGGCATTCAAAACTAATGTAATAATTAAGAACTTGGTCTTTTAATTTAGACAAGATAAAAGTTTTCCATTTTCTCACCTACAAGGGAGTTTCAGAAAGTCTACGGAAAAATTCCATTATCTTCCCATTTCATTTTTCCACAAACTCTTTGAAGTTTCCTCATATGAAACGGGTATAACTGAAGTGTGTAACTCCTGAACTGTGACTTGCCCAGTGGCACCGAGTCAGTTCTGCCCCAGGCCGACCCCTGTATGACAGAACAGAACACCGCCCCCTTCTGGACTACCCCACCATTGTTCTCAGGTTTGAACCCATCGGGCAGCCACTGTACCAATCCATCCTTGAGGGCCTTTCTCTCTCTTGCTGGCCCTGTCCTTTTCCCAGCATGATGCCCTTCTCCAGGAACTGCTCTCTCCTGACAACACGTCCAAAGTCTATGAGATGAAGTCTCCACTTCCATGCCTCTAAGGAACATTCTAATGGCACTTCTTGCAAGACAGATGTTTTGTTGTTCTTCTTTTGGCAACCCGTGGTATTTTCAGTATTCTTTGCCAGCACCATAAATCAGATGCACCAATTCTTCTTGGTCTTTCTTATCCAATGTCCAACTTTCACATGTATCTGAGACAATTGAAAATGTCATGGCTTAGGACAGGTGCACCTTAGTCC